TAATTTGGATGTTAAGTGCTTCTATGAAAAGTGCTGTGACACGTTTCAGTGATTTTTTAACTATAATAAAGCTGGATTTTTGCAAATATAAACCTATAACTTTAGTTGGTCATGGGTATGGTGTATAATGAAAGATTGTTTCCAAGAAAAATTAACAATAAATTAGACATAATACAACATGGGGAGATATTTTCTATTTTAAGCATTGATGCTACATTTTTGGAAATAATAAAAAAAAAATGATATTTTCAGGAGTGTTGGTTTTGTGTACCAATGAATTCCTGTTTCTGAGAAGAATTTTAAAAATGTTAGGTATTATACACTATTTGCAAACATTTTATTAACCGATTTAAGGGTATTACTTAAAAGGGTATTAAAGATGGTCCAAAAATTCACATGAAATTAAACCTATAGCCTTAGATTTCAGCAGTTTTGGTGAAAAAAACAAGGTGTTGTTCATGCTTATTCTTGATGAAAACTGCTTTTACTTTTTCACAATTAAGAGGGGAAGTGTAAATTTCTAATTATAATGGTTTTGATGGTTCACTGAAGGGATGTTTCCAAGAAAAAATTACAGTGTTTTAGATACAATACACCATGTAGAGATATTTTATAACTGATTCATATTATTTTAGTTGAAAATAAAAGTGATGTAAAAATGGTCTAAAAATTCACACAAAGTTAAGCCTTATGTATTTTAGCAATTTTGGTCAAAATTAAATTGGTTTTTATGTTAAATTTTAATGTTTCGTGGCTTTATGTATTATTTTGTGACATTTTGCAACACACACACACACACACACACACACACACACACACACACATCTTCTAAGCCGCTTATTGCTCTGGGTCGCCGGGGGAGCTGGAGCCTCATTTTCCAATAATTTCAAACAAAAACAAATATATATTTTTTTTAATTAAAAATATTACTTCCCGGAGTGACAGTTTTGTGTACCAATGAAATCTTTTTGAAAGAAGAATTTGTAACATGTTTGATTTTATTTACCATTTCGAAACAATTTACAACTGATTTACTTCAATTTTTTGGGAATTTAATGATGGTAACTTTTTTATTTAATGACTTGTAACTTTTATAGCGCCAGTGCTAAATGCTCAAAAAGTTTACATACCTGCGTTTGAATTACTGAATTAAAAGCTAACTTTTTATTTTAGATGGGGGGTGGTTCGTCTGTAAAACTAGGCTTTAAATATTATTTAATGAACACAGGAATGTTTCAGTAAGGCAAGTCATCACCAAAATAAAAGTCTTTTAGAGCTCTAGTCTCTTTAGGGCCCTGGGAATCATCTAAATCTCACCCTTTGACAGAGCCTAATGTGTGTGAATTTGTGTGTGTGTTTACTTCACTGTGATGGAATGTTTGTCCACTTTAATCTCACTTTAATCACACATTTAAAAACATGCCAAGCGCTTTTAAACAGTCAAAGCACTTCCTGTACCCTTCACTCAGTTTGACTGCAGTCCATAAAACAGCATTTAAGAACTGAAGGCAGATCAGTGTAACTACAGATCCACTGCTGACCCCTGACAATTAGAGCAAGGCCTTCAGTTCTGGCCATAAATGTATTCGTTTTACAGTGACTCTGTCAGTAAAGAGCTCTGACCGACGCTGTTTTCCACTCCTAATGACGTTCGCCGTCTGAGAGGAAACTGTAAATATGTTTTTCACCAAACTCTCCCTGTAATGATGGAAGGACTCGACAGTGCAGGTTGATCAGGTCACACATTTATCAGTGAAACTGGAATCTCTCGTTTCTCTCTGAACTGATCCTGAAGTGTCTTTATCTCGAAACTCTCAGTCACAGATCGCATTAATGTCCTTAATTGCCTCGTTAACACAATCGTTATGACGTGATAGTCTCTGACCTATGAGGGGGTCAGGCTGACGTGTTGTCGTGGTAACTTGAGAACAGAGTGACTCATGTAGGCTCGAGCTCATACACACACACACACACACACACACACACACACACACACACACACAGGTACTGACCTCCATCCAGATGCCTTCGAGCCTCGTATAAAAGTGAAAACCCAGAACGCCCCTCCCCCCCGGGCCCCTCGCTCCGGGACCTAGGACTTCAGATTCAGTTTGGGAAATGATGATGGTCAGTAGAGGGGTATGATTTTCTGCACATAGCCAATCTCTCTCTCTCTCGCTCTCTCTCTCTCTCTCTCTCTCTCTCCCACACCTTTCATTATTCCTTCATTTTCTCTCTCTCAGTCTTGCCCTCTCTCTCTCTTTTCTCTTTCTTTTCTCTCTCTCTCTATCTTTTCTTTTTCTCTCTTGGCTTCTCTCTCTCTCTCACTCTCTTTTTCACCACCTCCCTCTCTCATTCTCTCTCACTCTCCCTCTTTTCTCTTTCTTTCTTTTCTCTCCCTCAATCTTGCCCCTCACTCTCACAACTTTTTCTTTCTTTCCTCTCTCTAACTCTCCCCCTCTCTCTCATTCTCCCTCATCCCCCTTCTCTCTGTCCCTCCTTCACTCTCCCCTTTCTCTCTCTCTCTCTCTCTCACTCCCTTTCTTTCTCCCCCCTCCCCCTTTTTCTCTCTCTCACTCCTCTCTTTCTCTTTTCTCCCCTTCTCTCTTGCTCTCTCACTCTCACAACTTTCTTTTACTCTCTCTTACTCTTTCTATCTCTCTGTCCCTCCTTCACTCTCCCCTTCTTTTTCTCTTTCTCTCTCTCTCCTCTCTCTCACTCACTCTCTCTCTTCCCCCTCCCCTTTTTTCTCTCTTTCCCTTTCTCCCTCTCTCCTTCTTTTTCTCTTTCTCTCCCTCTCCCTCCCCCTCTCTTTCTCTCTCTCTTCCCCCTCTTCTTCTCCCTCTCCCTCCCTCCCTCGCTCTCTCTCTGTCCCTCTCCCTCTCTCTCTCTCTCTCTCTCTCTCTCTCTCTGCATGTCAGTGATAATAAAAGCTCTGAAGGAAACTCTATATCTGCCACTTCTCCCACACACACTCACCACCACGGAGAGAGAGAGAGAGAGAGAGAGAGAGAGAGTCAGTGCGTGTGTGTGTACAGGAACTCATGCGAGAGGAGGATCAGTTGTTTGTCGTTTTTTGGGAGATGATGGATGTCTGTTTGGAATTCCAGCTTTGGGAAAAGATTGTTGGAGTTTTATCCATAAAAACAGGCAAACTGGACAGGATCTGAACTCAAACATCAGCGGTCATAAACGGTACAGTGGACCTGCTCTTTCACCGTTTACTCACTTTACAGTTCACTTTTCACCATTTTTTAATATTACATATGATATACAACATTATATGTAGTTTACAATGTACAAAAAAAACATGTTGGTAAAATCACTCAAATATTTCTGATTTTTTTCAATATTCTTCAAGAAATGGTGCTTATTTAAAGTTACTCATCTTTGTTTAGGGGCATTAATACAGTTATTACTACACTCAATAACAGTCACTAATACAGCACAATATAGAGTCATTAATACAGTCAGTAACACAGTCACTAATACAGTTATTAATACACTGTCTTATGTTATTAATAAGGTCCTTAATACAGTCAGTAATGCAGTCCCTAATACACTATTATTAATACACTGTCTTATGTTATTAATAAGGTCCTTAATACAGTCAGTAACACAATCACTAATGCAGTTATCAATACTCACTTATAATTATTAATACAGTCATTAATACAGTCAACAAGTAATTTACACAGTTAGTAATAGTAATTAATTTAGTTATTGTAATCAAAAATATTTAAAAAAGTAATATTTTTAAAAAGTTAATATTTAATACATTAAATATTAACATAACTATTAATTTAGTCACTAATGCATTAATTAATAATCAGTTATAGTCATTGATTTAGTCATAAATATGGCCAGTGACAGTCAGTAACATAGTCACTAATCTTTATTAATAGTTATTAATACATTGACTTAGAGTCATTAATACAGTCATTAATACACTTATAATCATTAATACAGTCAGTAACACGGTCACTAATAGTCATAAATAAAGTTATTAATACACTGACTTATGGTCATTAATACAGTCATTAATACACTTACTTTTATGATTAACACAGTCATTAACACAACCATTAACACAGTCAGTAATACAGTTATTAATACACTAATTTATAATTATTAATACAGTCATTAAAAAGTCAGCAATAGTCATTTATGCAGCTATTAATGTTCATTAATACAGTCATTAATTCAGTCAGTAACAGACATTAATACAGTTATTAATAGTCCTTAATGCAGTCATAGTTATTTATACAGTTATTAATATAGCCAGTAATCAGTAAAGTCAGTATGATTACAGTTGTTAATGGTCATAAATTCAGTTATTAATACAGTCAGTAATAGTTATTAATGCAGTTAATAAAATAGTCATTAATGTATTTATTAATGCAGTCAGTAATAGACATGAATACAGTTATTGATAGTCCTGAATGCAGCCATTAATGTAGTCATAGTCATTTATACAGTTATCAATATAGTCAGTACTCAACAAAGTCAGTATGAGTCACAATTACAGTTGTTATTGGTTATTAATTCAGGTATCAATACAGTCAGAAATAGTTCTTAATGCAGTTATGAACGCGGTCATTAATGTTTTAATCTCTACAAAAGTCAAACTGATGGTCAGAACTCATGTGGAGAGTTCGACAGATGTGATCTGGTTCAGTCTTTTAGAGTCTGACTATCTAGAAGGTTCTCATGTTCATCCTTTAATCGTGAAACATTCCTAGGTTGAAAAAGTTCTTGGTAACACTTTACTGTAGGGTGCTGTTCATAAACAACGCCACCTACATAAGCTTGTCATGACAACTGACATAACCCTACATAACTGTTTATAAATGCTTGTTCCAATAAGTGTCATTCGCTATAAAGGTTACATTTGCCAATTTTGATCAAAGTCAGCTAAAGTATCCTTTATGACAGATAAATAAGCATTTATGAACAGTTATGTTAGGGTTATGTCAGTTATGTAGGTGTCATTTACCCTTATGAACAGCACTCTACAGTAAAGTGTTACCAAGTTCTTCTTCAAAATCTGACAGAACGTCAGAGAGACATTACAGATAGGGAAGACATGGTTTCTTTGATTGTTACAAAATCATAATTATTCGCTTTTGCAACCCAAAGCTTGTTTATTTTGCCGTAACAGGCTCCCCTTTACATGTGGAGATTTTGGGGTCATTTTGAGATGATTTTGAGGCTTTAGCTTTAGCATTAGCAAGAAAACTTTTCTAATTTAGCCTAATTTGCTATAGCAGCTTTAATCAATAGTTGTCATCACTACGTTTTTTTCTCAGTATCAGATGAAAATCATGAAACATTGTACATCAACAATGTACTAAAGCACAGTAGCTAGTATGTGAAATATTTTGTAAAAATCATATAAGCATGGTATGGCATTGTTTGATGCCCTGTGTTTAAAATAAATGGGTCACTAAAACATAATTATTGATGCAAAACGTTGAACAAAATAAAATAGGAAACGAAATCAGACACAATCCAAAAGCTGGGATGGTTAATATGTGTTTTTTCATTGGAGGGGCTAAATTAATGATAATAGCCCAGAAGAGGCTGTTGCACAATAAAATACAGTGCAGACCCCTGATTAAGAACGATACCGTCTCATTGTCCACTTTGCAAAAATGCTTCCAAATAAGGATCTTTGCATGACCAAACTGTTTTCCAATAAAGGTCTGAGCCGAACTGCCTGCAGTTATTAAACTCCGGCAGACATAACATCTCCACTCCAGCGCTGATCCTGATTCACTCAGACTTTAACTTGTAATATGAGGTGATCCAGCCTCGGTGGTTTTATTGGCCTCTCTGCCGCCATCCTAGAGCTTTCGTTGGGAATTCTCCTGCTCTGGCATTCCGAGGATAAACATTCCGGAACTCACTGATTTGGAACACGTGCTGTGTGACATAGGGCTGGAATGTTCAAAACCTCGGAAAACCTCATACGGGACTTTCAGCGGCGTTAATGTGAACATAAACTGTATCAGCAGCTGAGATTTATGAGTCTGACTGGCCACTATATCAGAAACCGTTACCTTTGTAGCTCCACCTTGCTGGTGTGCAGTTAAGGCCTGCAGCACATCTGTTGATGTGGGTTTACAATAAAGTGGCCAGTGAATGGAAGTACAAGATGGGTGTTTCTAATAAAGTGGCCAGTGAGTGGAAGTAAAAGGTTGGTGTTTCTAATAAAGTGGCCAGTGAGTGAAAGAACAAGTTGGGTGTTTCTACTAAAGTGACCAGTTACTGTAAGTACAAGGTAGGTGTTTCTAATAAAGTGGCCAGAGAGTGGAAGTACAACATTGGTATTTCTAATAAAGTGGCCAGTAAGGGGAAGGACAAGGTAGATGTTTCTTACAAAGTGGCCAGTGAGTGGCAGTACAAGGTGTGTTTCTAATAAAGTGGCCAGTGAGTGGAAGTAAAAGGTTGGTGTTTCTAATAAAGTGGCCAGTAAGGGGAAGTTCAAGGTAGGTGTTTCTAATAAAGTGGCCAGTGAGTGAAAGAACAAGTTGGGTGTTTCTAATAAAGTGGCCAGTGAGTTGAAGTAGAAGGATGGTGTTTCTAATAAAGTGGCCAGTGAGTGGAAGTAAAAGGATGGTGTTTCTAATAAAGTGGCCAGTGAGTGGAAGTAAAAGGTTGGTGTTTCTTATAAAACGGATTAAGGTAGATTTAACATTTTTATGTTTTATTCCAGGTAATTTTGGACCATTTCAATTGTTCCATTCATCATGAAATGTTCACACAATTTAAATGACAAAAATAATCAAATAGAAAAAACTAAACAAATAAAGCTGTAAAAATTAGGTTTTCAAATGACAGCGTTGATATTGTAGATTTGTTTTTAATGTCCTACCTGTAAATTGCTAATCTTACATGAAGAAATGGGATTTTATTATTACTTGAGCTTCGCAGTCGCAGATTAATCCTCGTTTGGGATTAAGCTACACTGTCACTGGGAACTTTTTACTGAAAGTTCCCCTTTTTTGTCTAAGACTCTGCATCTGGGATAGGAGCCCAACATCTCTCAAGGCTAAACAAACAGCGTTGAATTATGAGCATAACGGCCATTCTTTAATATCCTGCTGGTCAGATTAGTGAGGACTGTGCAGGTACGTCACTGGATGTTTGTCAAATCAGGGGCCGTATCTCGAGTTCTGGAAAGATAAAATTACTTAGACTGAAGATAAATGGAGAGCAAAGATAAGAGTAGCCCCTTAAAAAGAAGGGGCTACCCTTATCTTCGCCCTATGCTTCATTCAATAAAACTCAAATTAGGCACTTCTAGCTGCATAAGTCACTATGAATTAAGCTTTATTCATAAAGCTGTGCATAATTTTGTCTGTTATTTGAAAATCACAAATCATGCATTTTTTCTTGTAATAATGCACAATATATACTTATGCTATGACCTTGTCACGTAAGTTGTTGCACATGTAGTAATCATCTAACTTCACATTCATTAGTGTAGAATTGGCAGCATACAAGCTGAGAATATTCTAAGTTCAAGCCCTTTTTAATAAACAAGCATGGATGATGGGTGATGAATTTGTGATGCACATTGACTTTTTTAGTCTCTTATTATGACGATAACTTTAAAATATGAAACACATCTTTAAGTACTAGTGACTTATTAAACTCTTATTTACTCTATGCCAAAAACTCTAGACGTCACTTGATGCTATCTAGAACCTAGGTATAATATCCTACCAATTATACACTAATACAGTGTGAGTTTTGGTGATTAATTCAACTTAACAAAGTGCATTTATTGTGCATTATTAATTAAAATAAGTTCTTACATACATACATACATACATACATACATACATACTTACTTACTGGTACACATATATACACACATATTAGCAACCACCTGGGATACCATAGCAACAGACTAGGGTTAACACAGCAATTGGCTAGAAATACCTTAAAAATCACTTGGGATATGATAGCAATGGCCTAGCAACAACTTAGCAACTACCATAGAAATGGTCTAGTAACATCTTACCATATGGACTAACATAGCACCACCTTGGCAACCACATGGGATACACAGCAATGGTCTGGCACAGGGGTCGCAACCCGAATGGTAAGAAGAGACATTTGTCAAGAATCAACAAAAATCGAACCACCTTGGGAGCCACAACATTTTAAGTCAAAGAAACAGTTAA